TATGTTTACTCAGTACAGTAACCAGGGAGGTATGTATAATAGTTCTATGGTTATAAAACAATACCAAAGCAAAATCATAAAATATAGATTGCAGAATAACAAGAAGTATTACTCATCTTTAAATTAGTTCATTGTTTTTTGGAGAACAATGTCCCTAGATGTGTTCTCATTGATTCTTATGTTTGAAATGGCGTACCGGAATGAATAGTTTTAAATATAATATTAAATACAATGGTGTCAAGGGTGCTTAGCCCTAGCTAAAATAAATTCTGTAATAAAACTCTAAAAGCGTGGTAATTTTCTGTTATGTTTATATGCATTTATATGGTCAATTTAGCGGATCGTGGCAAAGCGTGCAGACGAGGATTTTGGTATTTGCTAGTCGGCACGTGGCAGGAGTATTTGTATGGTGAGATACAGTACAATAAATATGTATATATATAAATATGACATAATTTGTTTGCTATGTGACAGCCTCTCAGCTAGGCTAGTAGTTGGAAAACAAGGACTAACCGAGATGTCCAACCAATGATGTCGACCCAAAACAAAATCGCCCGTACTACTGCTTATTCTCGCATACAGAAATAAAATACAGATTAAATTCTACTCACAAATTGTTGTTGGCGAAAGGACCGGAGCCCCCAGATGAAATTCCACAAGAAATCTTTACTGTAAACCAGTCTTCAAATTCAGAACCAACAATATTCCACACGTATACCCACTCGTCCAATGCACTGAGTACAAGCTGTTATAAGCATACATACATATCTGATCTGATGAATATATTATGAACTGAGCAGAGTGTGAGGGTAACTTTGACTCGCTTGGCAGATAACACTCACACTGTAGAGACACTAGGTTCGACACAAACTAATAGGCATGAGTTCATCTGAGATAACGCCTCGCTGCTCAGTGCTCACCCGTCCCAAATTCGTTCTTACTTTCCAATAAAACTGTAGCCATTGTCATGATCATGTAATTTCCAGGGATGTGTTACAAAAGTTCAAGGATTTTGAAATTGCCATTACTGAACATAATTAGCAAACCAATGTATTTATAACATTTCTGTAGTATATGTTTATAATATTGCAGGTTGTCGTCGTGTGCACTAAACTTGCGTACGTGATGTCACCGTTTATTTCAAAACTATTTATAGCCCAGAAGCGAGGGCAATAAAATGTGAATTGCCGACGTTATGCATGTTGCAAATAACGGGCCCAAGCGCATCTTTGGAATTCGGCCCCATGTGACCATGTTTTTTTGTCTTCCAGCTGTTATTTGTGGACAACGGTTAGTCGGACGTTATATATAGTATACGCTTCCAGGAGTATGGGCAGTATTTTTTTCATATTTTTTAACCTGTTTAGACAGTCAATTATTTACATAAACCAGATAGTTGTTTTAGTTATCGTTCCAGCGTTCAAGTTAGAAAGAAAGAGTTGATGTAAAGGTGATTTTGTCACAATATTACCCCCTCTTTTGGTTGTTGGAAATGAGCTGCAAGGTCTTACTAATTTCTTGTTGGTTACGCGGTTTAGTGACGAGTTAATAAATGTTCAATTAATCCTCTATTTCGTTTGTTTCACGCTTTTGCAACATATTGTAATTCACGTGTTTATCAGTACGTGTGGTGTATATAACTTTGATACATTCCGCGCATGTTGTAGTAACTGTCATTAACAAAATAAAATGCTGTAACAAAAGAGCATAAATGGTTTGGCATATATCCAATCATTATAACGACAACTATGTTGCTATGATGTAAATGGAAAGGTTGTTACAGTAGTAACTATGATTAATTGGAAAATCATCAAAAATTCTGCTGCATCTTCGCCAACCAAGGTTTGTTTATTCAGCCATCGCCTCACTTTATTCCAGCTCTTCAAGATTAAGAGTTGCCGTATATTATGTTGTTAAATTTTAACGAAGGAATGGAACTTAAAGCCATATATGATTTTGTTAGATGATTAACCCGTTTCCAGTGCAAACGACAAAGTTACCCATATGCGGTTCGACTGGTGGATAAAACTGGTCTATCCTTGAATAACCACACACAAATAACTACTCGAAAACCCTAAAAGCTATAATATAATCACAAGAATCATAGATTGATGTTTTTTGCATTTAACAATGATAAACTTAACAAATAACGTATTTTTCTCAATACTTTTCATGGCTAACATCGGTACAATCCGTCATTTTATTTGAGTTTAGTTTTGACCTATATCTGACCGGTGACGTCACCAGAAGCGTCACTACTAATATTGGTCTGTGGTTGGTTGTCGCAGATGTATGTGGGGATAGTTAAAACAATACAAAATAAGATTAAGGAGTAATAATAAAAACAATTACAAAATAATAAAAACATAAAGTAAAATTCACTTCTTACAATACATCAGATTTTAATTAGATTGAGTGACCCCAATAATCACCTGCATATAATGTAAAGTAGGAATGTAACTTTAAATGTTTTCGATATATTAACGTTTAAAAACTTGTTTTTAATTGCAGAGATCATTCCAGAGAAAAGAACAGCTAGATGAAATTGGCTTTTGCCAACTTTGCACACTACCTGATAAGAAGCAGTGGACCAACTGATTGCTATTGAGAGTGGCACCACATAACTCACACAGGGCAGGGGGTTCTTTCACTGCTAGAATGGGGTAGACAAGACAATAGTACTGGAAATAAAATGAACATACATCAAAATATCAAGTAAAAGCTCCTGGCTTTAATATCTCGAGTCTTGCTTGCAGAGGAACGCTTTTATACTGTAGGCACCGCTGAAAGCAGCAGATTGCAGAGCAGTTCATACAAGTCTCACAGAAAGATGGTTGAAGTTATAGGCATAAATGGCCCAGATTTGGAACAGGTTTGCATATGGTTTGCACATAAATGGCGACAGAAGATATCGCCAGTTTTAGTTATACAAAAGATCGATCTGGGTTGCGTGCGGATCCAGTATTTAGAGGTCAAAACTTAAATGCGATTCGTAACGAAAAAGGAGACTTTGCTATAAAATGTAATTCCTAGGGATTCCCAATGAAGAGCGTCGGAAATAATAATTATGACGCAACACAGCAGTAATCATTCAATATAACTACATTTAATACTCATGATCGAACTCAATTATGCGTTACATCAATAATGCGTTAATATACTACAGGATAACGTTAACTACTTAATTACTTATCTGTTGTTGCTATCATATTCGTATCGCCGGCTAACTAGTAACCCCGTAACTAATCACACGTGTAATGACTCAACTGTATACATATTCTCATTAACTAATATTCATAAAAGTAATCGCATGTATGTAATCGTCATAAAACTATGTAGTAGCTATAATCATTTATGTAACGATACTTGTAATCTAAACACTGTAACTATAATTATAAATATGCAACTAAATTGCTGTATCTCATTCACTATGAATTTAAAACATCAGTAATTTAACACTAAGTACAGTCATATAATGTTATGAATTATGAACAGGGTGAACAAAGTGATAAAATACAATAATCCAATCTATGCCTCTGTTGTTCAATGAAATCAAATCCTAAAATTGTTGTGAATGCTATTACTGGGATTTATTTCGGAAAGAAAATATTATATTGCCTACGCAATATAAAGTCATCTAACTAACGGTCTTACATCAGTCTTGCTCTCGGCTTTCGAACAGCTCACCAGGACACAATAACTGTCAACAGAAAATTCAATATGGCGGCGCACACATGAATGTGACGTCACAAAAATCATTGATGTCAACAATAAGGAGATCCAATCAGGTCACTATCTTAGCTTTTTCCCTTCTTAGAGAGGCTCCATCATGATTTGCGGCACTCGCAGTTCTACTCGGCACAAACCCACTGGGAATTATGATCGAAATAGTGTCTAGCATTTACATATACATTACATCTAACCGTATAAAAGAGCAAAATACATAATGTTTCACATATCTATTAGCTGGTCATCCGATTCATTAACAGTACACGCGCTCAAAAAAGAAACATGTCTTTGGCTGTTGGCATGGCAGGACGTGAACGTGAAGCTAACGTAGGTTTACAACTAAAACCGGGCCCCATATACATAATCCTGACGGAGCGGATCGCCAATTTTAATATTCTTCCAGCTGGTCATGTTGCTTCATTAGTTATGGCAATATATAATTCCCAGAGATAAAACTTTACATACACATTTGCGAATACCTGAATATTGTGTACATGAATAATGCTATATTAATAATTAATACTTAATACATGCCCTCATCAAGTATAATTCTGGAAGATACATTACAGATATGCATTTACTACTAATTTGGAATTGTCTTTAAAAATGAAAAGATTTGAACAAATTGTTAGCTGATTATAAACGTCACTATTTAGGCGCACATCTAATTTCCAGTAAAATGTCAATTTAATAAAACTAGAAATAAAAATACATTAATTAAAAAAAATACATACACTTGTAATACTATTAATCACATGTCTGTACTTCTCGTTAAACACATTTAACTAACCTGTGAACAATCTGAATAAATGATATCATATTATATCAATAAATATTATATTAGCTTGGTCATACAATTTAATACAGGAAATATTACCGTCTCCTTGGTCATCCGATCACATATATCAGACGACTGATACACCATAGCTGCAGAGATACAAGAGGAACCATAGGAATATAATATAATGCTATTATGTGCGTGTTCTTTACTGTCTGGTAACACATAGAGTGACTGTGTACTATTGGTTGAACACATTAAATTGGTATGTAAAACATTTTGATTGTGTCCACATGTGAAACAACTTAAAATAGAAGCATTTTTACTCATGTATGTTTTTTTTAAACAGGTCACCTTGACGATCTCGAAGATTTTAGAATTGAGGTAATAGTCTGTGGTGAAACACATTCCCATCAAATTTTTAGTTAGTCAGTCAATCATGCTAGACACCCAACAGTAGTACCTGATAACATATTTACACGATTAAACTGATTTATCTTTTATCTAAACAGTTATCTTTGCAGCTCGATTTTAATTTATTCATTGTGAGTTGTCTGATGTCATGCATTGTCATGACAATATTGTAGTCTCGTTCCAAAGTCTGCCGAATTTCAACACCCATCAACGAATCCAGTCCCAGATCACCCAGAGTTGTAGTAGGATTCAAAGTGGATGGATCATCGACACCTAAAATATGTCCAATAGAATCTACCAATGTGCGGCGTTTGGTAGGCGCCTCTTCAGACATGACATAATTTGATGCATCTGGCAGTACATAGCTAGACACCACTGGGTGTTGTTGAGCAAGGAAAGTATCTAAAGTAGACAGATAGGAGGCAACTTTCTGAGGCACTGTACCCCCTACTACTGAAATATTGTAGCCCATTGTTTCTGGCACAATACCAACATCTTGGATAGCACCCCATTGTATGGCCAATGCTGATGAGAAAATCACAGATTAAGATGAAAATTACATATTGCATTATTTAATATCTGATCTATACACTTTTCATGAGTATGATCGATGACAATTTATACCTCCAATTCGTTTGTACTTTCTAAATTGATAATTCATTAGTAGTGTCTATGAAAAATAGTTACTTCATTATATTAGATCTTTAGAAATTAAAATTTGTAAAAATTTGTGATTTTTTGTCACTAACCTGGATATCCATCATAATATCTCTTTTCACATATTCTTTCCATGGCGGAGTTTGCAAATCCATAATTAGTCTGTCCAGCGTTGCCACGTCCACTCACAATGGAAGAATACACAACAAACCAGTCCATACTTTCAGCACAGAGCTTACGAGTAGCTTGGTCCAGATTGTATGCACCAACATACTTGGCAGCACAGACTGATTGGAATGTCTGAGGGGTCTGGTTTTCAAATAAGCCATCTTTCAAAACCTGAATCAATCAAAAAAGTGTTGTTGTAATTTCCACATATACACATACTATATCAATGAAATAGGTGCGTCCAATATCCTGAATACAGTATGGAATTTGTATAATGGCATAAATATTTCATTAATTTTACAATATTTACCATTGCAAGATGAAATAATCCTCCAACGGGTGCAATTCGGCTGGAGTCTTTTATTAATTTCTCAGCTCCATCACTTTCAGTTATGTCTACAGACAAGATGGTGACCTGGACTCCAAGGTCGCGCCATTGTTTCACACGCCGACTCTGATAGCCATTGCGAATACCTGATCTAGACGTCAGAACAAGG